TTAATAATTATAATATTATGAAATAATGCTAAAATACATTTTAGTTAAGCGTGATAGTATCATCACTAACAATTTAATGAAGAATCAAATTCAATAATTGTGGATCAAATATATTAAAATTAGACATCATTTTATTATGAAATATATATCTAATTAGTTTGGCAATCCCTAAAGTAGATTTCCAAGATATAATATATTCATAAAATAATTTAATTAAGAATACTTTTTTTAGCATAAAAGATAATTAGGAACGTGAGATCATCATTTGTGATTTGACGGTTACTTTTTTTCTTCTATTTAAATAGTATTAAAAAACTTAAAATATATTCAAAACAAAATTCAAAATAAATTTTGATATTGCATTATATGTGTGAAGTAAAAAAATTAAAAATATTGCAATTTCTGATAATGTTGCATTGTAATTTTTTTAACGAAGGATGACCTATAAAACAAAGATTAAAATCATTTAATTATTGTATTAATGAAAACAACTATATGAATATTATGATTCAATTAAATAGTTTTTTTTATATATAATATGATTATATGGGAGGGCAAACGTATTAAAAACTAAAAACATATTCAAAACAAAACTCAAAATAAATTTTGATATTACATTATATATGTGAAGTAAAAAAATTACAAACTTTACATTTTCTGATAATGTTGCATTGCAACCTTTTTCAATGAAGAATGACCCATTAATAAAAAAATAGATTAAAATAATTTAATTACTATAGTAATGAAAACAGCTATATGAATATTATGATTCAATCAGATATAATTTTTTGATATAATATAATTATATGCTTTTATCTATTCTAGTCATGCAAATCCACCATTATTTATATATTACATATTAAAAAAAATTTAGAGCATATCTTAACCTAACTTTTCACCAATTTTTTTTAAGAAAATTAGCTCTTAGAAACAAAAGAGCTAAGTCCACTGTTAACCAAATATCTAAGTCACAGGTAACTATTCACTATTGTTTTCAAATCAAACGAATTATTACGAAACCCACTTCCAAATTGCAGTAAGAACAAAAAATTAGATAACATGCTAAAATCATCAAATAAAATGTTACATCACTCCTCTTAATCTGCAGTAAGATGAATAAAAAACTAAAAATTACAACTTAACATCGGGATTCATCCCAATTCAAGCAAGGGAAAAAAAAAAAAAAAGAATGAAAGAAACAAAGGAGGTTAATTGGATTGGAAGAATATAAGGTAAGAAGAATATTGGGTTTTGGTCTTTGACCTTGGACCTTCAACCTACGAGCTTCAGACAATGCAACGGTAGAGAGCATCAGATTGAAAAGCGAACAAACAAAATGTTGCTCGCGATTTACCAAGGGCATGAAAAGGGTTGGTTTGGGCAAAGAAATAAAATGAGGAGGGATAAATTACCTCACAATCCTTCTTTTAAAGCTTTGTTAATTTTTTTAAGCTGATAATATATATCTTAAAGATTTTTTAATTCTTTTCAGGGGGGCAATGGACATTTCATAGTTTCGCCCCTGATTATTACAATGTTCTAGCTAAAGGCTAACTTCTTCTCTTTTTTTTTTTTTTTTTTTTTTTTTTTGAATGATATGATATTAAATCATCAAACATTATTTAACTAAAAATCTTGAAGATTTCTTTTGAGCTAAGAGTTGGCTCTAAACATTTTCTATTTAATAAATTTTATAATATCATTTCCTTCGAAAGAAATTCCAAATGCTGTACTCCTTAGATAAGTTCCTAAAATATAATTGAATCGAGTATCATTTTCTCAAGGAAAATTTTTATTAAATGATTTAATCCAGTGATCATCTGACTTATATATATATATATATATATATATATATATATAAGCATGCAGTTTTCAACGGCAGCAGCTGCCTGCCCAACTCGCAAGTAGATATGGCGAGGGTCCCATACCGTGCACTCCGCCGCTTATGTCGCCGCTAACAAGCCTTCTAGCCGGAAATAAATATTTCCCATAAATATGTGCATTTAGGTGGGAGATGATACAACAACAACAACATCAAGCCTTTATCCCACTACGTGGGGTCGGCTACATGAATCCTTTTTCTCCATTGTGTCCTATTAAAAGCCAAATTCTCGTTTAAATCTAATAAAGAAAGGTCATTCCTAATATTTTCTAACCAAGTCTTTTTAGGTCTACCCCTACCTTTCTTAACACAAGTCAAATCTAATACCTCTACTCTCCTAACTGGGTCGTCGGAAGGCCGCCTTTTTATGTGACCAAACCATCAAAGCTTTTGGCTTTTCGATCTTTGAAAATGATACTACAAGAATGGATGATGGAAGTCAAAGGGATTATAATTGAGGGAGACAATTACAATGTTGTCAAGTATCTGCAAGGTTCGGTTGATAAAGCATTTGGAAAAATGGATAATGACATGGCGGAAGACTTATCTTTTTTGAAAGATTTTGAGAATTTTTTATTTCATTTTTCTCATAGAAAATGTAATAAGTTAGCCGATTTTTGTGCTAACTTTGCTTTACTTGGTGATTTTTTTTGGATGATCTAAGTTTTAATAAGTTTCCTCCTTTTCTTTCTTTGTTAAAAGAGGATTGTGATAGTTTTTCTATCACTTAGTAGTTTGTAATAGGTTTTTTTTTAATGCAAAAGGCTCCTAAAAAAAATCATTCTTATTGAACAGGGAAGAGAAAAATGGGTAATATTGAAGATGATGAAGATTTGACATTCATAGATACAATTGGAGATGAAGATGCCTCCACTGAAGACCTATTTAATGATGGGACATGATTGAATTTTAGATGTTCTTTCTTATTTATACTTTGGGAGTTTTGATAGACTTCAATTTGTAGTTTTGTACTTTGAATTATGCTATAAGATGCATATATTGCATCTATTTTATTATTTTCCACTAAGTTCACTTCTCAATTAGATGTTTTTATTGTATCATAAACTCTTACTATTATTTATCTGCTATAATACTGAAATTCGCAGTTATGCAATTCTTCGTCCATGAGGCTTATGCGTCACACAGCCTCGAGGCTTATTTACGCAATTTTAAACCTTGATAAGCACCCTAATCCTCTTTGTAATAACACCAAGAGCCCGACATACTCCATGACAACATTAGTAAAAACCCATGCATGTTTCACAATAGTAATGTCTTGAGAACTCCAAGATCAATTTTTTCTATTTGGAACATTATTGCATATTGGATTTGTGGCACTATATTACCTAAAACTATTTTCAAACATATTGGAAGAGTCTGCTCTAAGTTCCTTTTTTTTTTAGATTGTAGTTCTTAAGATTTTCTATTTGGAACATTATTGCATATTGGATTTGTGGCACTATATTACCTAAAACTATTTTCAAACATATTGGAAGAGTCTGCTCTAAGTTCCTTTTTTTTTTTGTGATCCTGCTACCTCTAGGAAACTCCACCTTATCTCTTAGGGCAATGTCTGCAAACCCAAAACTTTGGATGGTCTTGGCATCCCTTCCCTTCATGTTTCTCAATTTGTCTTTAGCTTCTCTCATTAGCTGATTTTATAAAACAAATCCAACCCTCTTACAAACTAGTTATCCCATATATATTTATCACATTGGATGTCGCCCCCAAATTCTTCTACCTTTTGGAAAATTATCTATGTTACTGCTTGTAAAGTTAGAGACAAATTTCACTTCGTGATTTCCCTGAAATTTTCCATTTATCTTAAATGGGATCACAAGCATGATGGTGTAAGGATTTCTGATATGCCCTTCTCCAATATTCTTTTGGATTTTTGGCCAAATAATGCCTATCTGGATGTATTAATCAATGGCTCTACATGAAGCCTTCCTGCTAGTGCTCATTGTTCTCTTGCTAATTGTATCAATGGTATCATGATTCATAATCATCCTTCTTAGTATCTAGTTTGGGAGCAAAATGATGTTGGGTGTTTCAAAATTTTTCTAAATAAATTTTGGAATGGAGTCTCTTTTTCTAGGCATTAGTTTTTCTGGCACAAGAACAATGCCTTGTGTTTTTCTGTTTATTGTTGGTTGTCTTTGACTGTTGGGCTTCAAATTATTGATGCACTTCTAAAAAAGAACATTCAGGTTGAATCTTGTTGTAATTTATGTCATTCTTCACTCGAAAATCCTATGCATCTCTTATTTGAATGCAATTGCTCATTTTTATTTTATCTGAGCCAATTCCTGGGACAAAAAATTCTTCTTCTAAAATCCTTCTTGCCTCTATTTTTTGAATGGATTCTTGAAAATTTATATAATATGGATGAAGTTAATAATTATTACTTGCTTATCACTTGTTGTATTGTTTCTTTTCTTTGGAGAGAGATGAATGAAAGAAGATTTGGGAATTGTGCTATTAGCTCTTCATCTATCTGTGACAAAATCAAGAAAGTTAATTTTTTTTTAATTTTAATGTAGAAAAGTGGAGATGCTTGTTGGGAATTTCCATGGTCTTGCTGTATCTTTATTGTGGCTTGTGACTCTGGTTGCATCTCTTTGTAGCTCAATCTTCAGGATCCGCTGTTGCTGCTTTCATGTTGGTGCTTTTTTGGTCTGAAAGGTTTCTGGCAAGCCAAGGTCGTTGATGATCACCCTTATTTCAGACCCATCCCTTTGAAAGTTCTTCGAGCAACTAGTGGATTTTGTGATAGTCCTTTTTTCCGAGATGAACCCAAATCATTCAAATTTGAGTCCTTGATATGGATTATTTGCAATTTTTATTATCTTTTAAATATTATTCATTTCATAGCAAAAGTTTTTGCTTTCTTTATCTTCTTGATAGAAGTTTTTTTTTTGCTTTTTGAGCTAATTCTTCTTGAGCTGAAGTCCTTTTTTAGTTTTTCTTTTTTCATCTAATTTTACTTTTAATCACCAATTTTGTTAATGGTATGCCTAATTTTTATTAAAAAATCTAAATAATTAATTAGTAATTTTTTTTTATTATAATGAATGAACCGGTTGGGAGGCAGCTCCGCTGCTAATACTATTAATATCCATCACCGCAGTACTCCTCACCGCACACCGCCATGCTGCTTTTTCTTTCTCTAGTACTATCAGCAGCATTCGCTCTCTCTCTCTCTCTACTGTCACCTTCATTTCGCGCTCTCTCTCTCTACTCTGTCAGTGTACAAAGCTACACAAGCATACCTCACTTCTGCTAACTGCCGCGTAACAGTCGTTCGCAGCGGCGGCCTCCAGGTAGCATCATTCTCACTGGTTCCAGTTTGGAGCTCAGTCTTGTCCATCTGAAGCTTTCTCGCTCTCGTTTCCAGGCTTCCAGCTTTGGTTCCTCAGTCGCTTCTGAATTTGATGCCACCGCTGCCGCCGATGAGAGAGATCTAGTGTTTTCGGCGCATTTTGATCTAGTGGGATCTTGGGATTTCGAATCATGAGGATGCTGAGTGGGGAATCGTGGCTAGGGCTAATGAGGGAGATGAGAAGGAAGAAGGGGGTGACAGTAGATGAGAGATCGACTATCGGTGTGCTCACATTTGAAGTGGCGAGCTATATGTCAAAAGCCGTTAATCTCTGGCGCTCACTCAGCCAAGAGCAGATCGCCAGACTCAGAGATGAGGTTCTGCGCCTTGAAGGAGTGAGGAAGCTAGTTTCCAATGACGATAACTTCCTCCTTGGGTTAGCTCTGGCTGAGACCATGGACTCTGTTGATTCCCTTGCGCATTCCGTGACCCGGTTATGTAAGCGCTGTTCCGATCCAGTGCTACAGCGTTTCGATCATGTCTTCGCTGATCTGATCATGAATGACTCTGATCTGTATGGTCTTTTGTATTCCGGGAAGAAGATGGAGCGCGAGGTTAGAAAATTGGAGAAGTTTGTTGCTGCTGGGGCTAATTTGTACCAGGAGCTTGAGATTCTGGCGGAGCTGGAGCAGGGGCTGAGAAGGATGGAGATGAATGCGGAGATAAGTCGTCAGGGTAACAGTTTTTTGGATTTCAAGCAAAAAGTAGTGTGGCAAAGGCAGGCAGTGAAGTGCCTGAGAGAGGCCTCAGTGTGGAACAGAACCTACGATTACACTGTCCGTCTTTTGGCGAGATCACTCTTCACAATTGTGGATAGGATAAAACTTGTCTTTGGCTTTCAGCAGAAGGATACTGATACTTTCTCAAAAACTATGAACCACCTCTCTCGCAGTAACTCTGTCAGTGGCGTTATCCAGTCTTCCATACAATTCTCTAATGGTGGAGCACTTCACAGGTTTGCCTCTGATCCAATCAAGATATCTGGTCACATTGCTCTGGATAATGGAGTTGCCAATGGTCGGCGGAGAGGAACTTTGCTCAGGAGTCCTACTAGAATTAAGTGGCCGGTCTCTAGCAAATCCTTCAAGGGATGCATTGTAGGAGAAGGTAACAACTCCCCTGTTCATGATGGAGATATCACTAAGCTAAAAAGGAGTTCAGGAGATGGAACTGAAAGTGCTGAGTCTGAGCATCCAATGAACATTTTCGATGCAGATTTACCTCCATATATCTTTAAATCTTGGCAGAAGTTGCTGAAAGCTCCTCCATCAACCCTTGGTTCTGCCGCTTTATCTCTGCATTATGCCAATGTAATCATTGTGATTGAAAAGTTTGCTGCTTCACCGCATTTAATAGGTAATGATGCCAGAGATGATTTGTACGGTATGCTTCCTAGGAGTATAAGGATGGCACTGAGAATCAGGCTGAAGTCTTATGCAATGAATTTATCTTTATCTGTTTATGATCCAGATCTTGCAGCAGATTGGACTGATGCAATAGGCAAGATATTGGATTGGCTATCGCCTCTTGCCCATAACATGATAAAATGGCAATCTGATAGGAACTTTGAGCAGCACCATTTGGTTTCTAGCACCAATGTTCTTTTGCTACAAACTCTCTACTATGCAAATCAGGGAAAGACTGAAGCTGCAATAACAGAATTACTTGTTGGTTTGAATTATTTGTGGAGATATGCAAAGGAACTCAATGAGAAAGCTATACTTGAGTGTACCAGCAGCTGAAACTTTGTGACTGTTTGGGCAACAAAAATATGGTATGGGATGTTGGCAAGACAAAATAGGTACTTTTTCTAGCAATATGATTTATATAAGGAGAACAGCATGAAGAGTTATAATTTTTAAAGAAACTTTTATTCATTTACCTTCTGTTAGTATGGGGTTGGTCATAATTTCATTTAGTCCTTATGCTGCTAACTTTGAGCTCTGAATCTGACAATTTGAGGATGCAATGTTTAAAGTTCTCCAAATTGAACGCAAACAAATTCTAACAGTTTTTTTCGTATCTGTTCTTCTTCTTGATATGTTCTGTAATATGAATTTACTCTTTGAAATAGATGTAAAATTATAATTAATATATACTAGCAATACCTTGGTTGTGTAGATTGCTTATCATGTAGACATCAAATACTCATAGTATTGTACATTGTTGAGTTCTGTTTAGTTTGATTGATTAAATATTCTTTTTTTGCGTATTTATTATATCTTGTTTGATTTTTAGTGAAAAAGGATCTCAAAACAAATTATAAAATGTCTACGCACATTCAAATTCACCACTATTGGTGTATGCCTTTGGCTTACAACCACTTAGAGAACTCAAAGCAGATGAAGGTGCTTAAGTTCTTCAGTGATCATATTGTCCATTGCTTTGGAATTCCATGACGGATCATATTAGATAATGACATGACTTCTAAATGATAAAGTTATTTTAATTTGTTCAATATCATCTTATCAGTTGGAGTTATACAACCATTCTCATATTTTTGTTGCCGCATGTAACACTGTGTGCCACCTTATTATACTAGTTAATGATTAAGATAGTCTCTCAAAGATTCACCTTCATTCTATTTGAGGGATAACTAAGATTGAGGATGCTTCATCATCCTCTCCCATGCAACAAAAGGTACTGTGGCAAAGTTGGGCAGTGAAGTGACCTTATAGATGTTGCACTGTGGAACCGAAGCAATGATTACACTGTTTTGCCAAGATTACTTCACAATTTTTGATAGGATAAAAATTTTCTTTTAGTTTCAGCAGAAAGATGCTGATGCGTTTTAAAAAAGTATTGATATGTCATTAAAAAAATATTTTGATCTGGTACAAATATCGAGGCATATTTGCATTGAAATTTTATAAATTAAGCTTAGGCGGATTCAAATTCCCATTTTAGCAAATTTATAGTCAAACAAAAGGTCTCGACGCGACTATCTCAATGCACGAAAAATAGTCAAATCTAAGCCTAAATGGGCACAAGTCAGTGTTTAGAAGTGTAATTGAAAATTTCATAACATTAATTTTATTATGAAATGATCTCCAAATTTGACATACTTATTGCCAAGTTGAGCATCTAACAATCCCAAGATCCTTTAATTTTAACATCATTATGACATTAAATGCTGAGCGAATGTTTTATAATTGATGGAATCAATATGTATTATTCGATAGAGTGTTTCAGATTTTCTTCATATTTACGAGCATGCCACTCATAGAAATTTATAATGAGACCTCCACTCTCTATATTTGTCGTAGGGAGCTTGGAGCTAGAGACTGAACTTTTGCTTGAGATTCATGAGAGTTCTGAGGCTTTAATTAGGATCCTAGGGCATCACCCGGGCACTATGAGTTGATCTTGCCATCGACCTCTTTTGACTGCCGACTAAGATTGTTAGATAACTGTTGCCTATTGACTACCATCCTCGAACTATTGTAGTTCACCAATTAAGGTCCTTCCGACCACCATCGCCTGGCTACGGTTCTCGGACAATCATCACCTGATTATGATCCTTTCGACCTATTTTGTACATTTGTTATGGTTCCTTTGATTTCCATCACCTGTCGAGTGCTATACTCACATTACTGTCTCTTTACTACAGTTCTCTGACCATCATTATCGACTACAATCCTTCAATATCTTTTGCTTACCAACATCAGTTCATCTAATTACCGTCGCCTGATTATGTTCTTTTGACCACCATCATCAACTCCGATCATCTAAGATCCATCACACACTGATTATGGTTCTTTCGATTACTATCGCATGACTACGATCATTTTGACTTGCGTCATCTATTGACTTTAGTCCTCGAACAACTGTCACCCGAATAGATCCTATAACCACCATCGTCTGTTAACTACCATTGTTAGATTATGGTCCTTTGACCCCCTTTGCATGCCAACTATGATCATTTTGACCTTCGTCATCTACTGGCTAGGATCCTTCGACCAACGTGATGGGGGTTGTGGAGTAATCTAAATAATCTTGAAATAATTTAGTGCTTTATCAACAATGCTTAGATTTTTTTTTTTTTATATTAAATTATAAAAATACCACTTAATATATACATGTATACGTCCGAATCAAGTAATATAGTAATAGAGTATTGATCCCACGAGAAAGAATGTTTACTTGCAAACACTACAAACACTAGTACTGTCTACTTCAACTACAATAATTATCTTACTCAATAAAAATAAATTTTGGTAAAGATCCAATCACTTAATTTAAAATAAAAAAATAAATAAATGAAACACTATTGGGATAAATTATTTTGGATTGGTAGAATCTAAATATAATATGTTTTCTAATGATTCTCTTTTATATTGATGCTATTCAGAGCATATGCATCATGAATCGCTCGTATAAGTGTGAAGAGACAAATGATAGATTAAACTTTTCCAACCTCAGTACCACTCTAAACTTCCATAGTCTGCCACCCTATGAAAATCTTAGAAGAGTGAGTAAAGCGTGTATTGTTAAACACCCTTATAATAATTCATCTCTATAAATTTGATACATGACAAATATTATGCCTATGCTTGCATCATACAAATCCAACATACTTAGTTTGGTCTGCTTGCTTATTCTTAGGTTTCACATTACACATGATATTAACTACACATATGACTATTATGTGCATTAAATGAAGGCCTGATATATTAAAAATATTATAAAATTATTGATGAAGAGAATTCATTAGTACTTCATATTTTATTTATATAATCAATCCAAAATTAGAGAATTTAGACAGAAATGAAGAATAAATGAAGCATATTCATTTTCATTAAATGCACAAAAGAAAGAACGGATAGAGGAAAAGATATCACCTGGTGGCTTAATAATCTCATCTACACTCTTTCTTGAATTTACATAATTACGTTCACTAACACAAGCCAAACACTCTAATGGAATGTATCTAGCAATTATTTGAATTTTCATAGTTGTCACTCCTAAGAATAAAATCAAAGAAGCACTATAAAGGCTAAAAGTAAACAAGTGACTAAACTCCCCTACTAACATTATATACAGACTATTTATAGAAAAATACAGGAAAATGATTTTGGCGTCATAACTCTCAAGACACTTACGCTGCGGCGCCCATAAAATGATTTAACGCTGCAGCACTGAAGGTATCCTCCGTTGAGGAGCTTGCTGACATGGATTCTCTATTTAATGAATTGACGCGTCACTTTTCTCTCAGATCATGGTCTGAACATTTACAACTATAGCGCCGCGACACTGATGATAGTTGAGCGCTGCGACATCCAATTCGCACTCCCTTGACTTAACGACACTGGGATTTGGCATCACAGTGTTTTTCAGACAAAGATTGTGCTTTGCAACGTTGACTCCTCCGACATTGCGGTGCTAGGATAGTTGGCTTGACTTTGCGGCGCTGACTCCTTCAACGTTGCAGTGCTGTCAAATAGAGATTGTGCATCGCCGTCTCCATATTCAGGCACTCTGCCGGTGCCAATGATGGTGTTGTGGCAGTATTGTGTCCAATGCTGCAATGCTGTACCATACTTAAAAATTTTATCAATTTCCTGTATTTTCTGCACAAACACAACTAAAACAACACATTTTTTTAAGAAATTAACACATAAAATATAACATTATTTATACTTTTCACACCATTGCCTTATATAGTTTTTAGATCACTATCACTTGACTACGGTCCTATAACCAGCCTTGCCTGGTCATGGTCTTCTATTAATGCTTTCCCAACATGGTCCTCCAACCATCATCGACTAATAATTGTCATCTGGCCACGGTCTTCCGACTACAATCCTTTCGACTTCCATCACTAGTCGACTATAATCATCTGGCCTGCATTGCCAAACTATAAACCTCAGGTCTTTGTTGCCAAGCTACAGTCCTTAAACCTTCACCCTCGACTGCTGTTTTTCCACTAATATCGCCCAACTACAGTCTACTTATCCATGTTTTTTTAATCATTATTGTATGGTTTCCCTTATGCCTTTTTACTTCATCACCCCATTACCAATAATTATAATACACGCCATTATTTATAAGATCAATATTTGCATTTAACACCAGCAATTTTGGCCATTGGATTTATGCTGAATTTTTGCCAAAGAATTCTTCTAATTTCAACCAACTAATATTTTCTTTATATTGTATCAATGTATTTTCCGCATGGAAGGCCTGCAATTGTAATTAAATGCATATACTTGTGGGATCTTTTTATTGGTCTATACCTTGTGGTTTGTTCTCTTTTTTAGGTTTTTCACATAAAAATTCTAATTTCTTTTATAATTCTTTTACTCCCTTATCTGCATGTGCTAGATCTTTGTACAAAACTATGTCATTAAACACTATGTTAGTACCATGAATATTTTGGTACATAATAATTTAGCGTGGTATTTGGGAATCAATTTTTGGTTGGGGGAAACATTTACTGCATCCTCAAAAGTTCGTTCACGGTAATGCTTTGGGCATGATTGTACAGAGGCATTCCCTTAACCATGAACTATTTTATCATTTCAAAAGAACTATTTCAAGATTGAGGGTATTTTCACTTGTATAATTAAACGTGCATTGCTTTATATATGATAATTCCTCTAAACTATTATCCATTGATTCATCAACTTCATGCATGTAAGGAAATCTTCCTTGCAGATGATAAGAACAAAATTATTAAGTTTAGATTGCATATATTATGATATTTGTGCTTTTTATCCTTATATTTTTGTGCAGGAAACATGTAAAAAATCATAAAAATTGAACCAGTGCTGCAGCAGTGCCACAGCTGATTGTGATGATTTCTCTACCGAATATTGCCAAACTAAATTCTCCTGTTTATGATCGTTTCCTTTCAAGCATTTGTTAATTAAATCTTTCTGTATTATGTTGATAGCTTTGGCCAATGCCAACATGCTTGATTTATTTTCAAGTTCATCGCACCTATTGAGTAAACATCATTATCATTCAATAACTAAACTTTAATTAATTATCCAATACTCAATCATTAAATCCTAATGATTCAATCAAGCTTACATATTCAATCATTCAATAATGGTTGATGATTCAATCAGGTTCAGTTTAAACCTTCAGTCATCATATATTAGTCAATGAACATAAATCTTTTATTCCATTTCAATTATTCAATCAAAATCTAGCGTAAAGCTTAACGTCCAAAATACAACTCAAGTGCAAACTTTAAAGACGAACTCCGAAGAGGGCGATTTTGAAGTTCTTCCAGATTTTTAGCCCAAAGGTGGTTTTCTTGGAGGTCGCCCATGGGCCCTGTGTGGCCGACGGTTGGTCTTGGAGTTCAGATACTTCAAGGTTTTGGATCTCTTTCTTTCAGATATCGCTCAAGGCCATTTCGGCGGAGGGTCGTCGTCGACTCGGTGTTGCCAACAGTTGTTCATTTTATAGATTTTCTGATAGTTTTTTGTGGTTTGATCTTCTGTGGCTGACGAATGCTCTTGGATTTAGATTTTTGTTTTTTCTTGGGTAATGGTTGCTTTGATTGGTTTTGGTTTTATGTATTCCTTGATCTGGTGTTTAGATTGAAGTTTTTCTTGAAGGATCTCTTTTTGTTCAAGAAATGGTGTAGATGCAGATTGTTCTGGTCTGAAGATTTTTCTGTGCAAAATGCGGTTTGGAAATCTTTTCAAAACCAGATAGCTCTTCGTTTTTCTTTGCCTGGTTTCTTGAAGAATCTTGGTGAAAGATCTGATGCAGTCCTAGTTGTGATTGCTTGTTCTTCTGTTCTTATTTTGGAATGTCCAAGTGGCAAGATTTTTGATGGAGCTGTGAAAGTTCTTGGATTTTCTATTGGTTTTACTCATGTATTGAGTTTGGATAACAAGTTCGATGGAGGATTTGTCAATGTCATTTCTGCTTGTGAGGTTTGTTATGTTTCGGTTGCCATGAGAATTGGTAGCTATGTGGTTGGGAAGGAGGTTATTTGTGTTGTTGGATGTGGTGGTATTATGAATAAGCTTGTGGTTGGTGTTCTTGTCTCCTTTATGAAGATAATGGAGATTTTATTTGTTCATGGAGGGTTCATACCTTCATCTAGTTTTAAGGAAGTAAATTTTATGTTTCAAGAGGATTCGGTTTCTAATACCGGAGTTATTGCAGTATTTTGGCTGCCACTTAGTGGATCATTTAAGAATGATTGTTTGGTTGATTGGATTGTCCAAAGAAGTTTGGGACTATCTAAATGTTCTGTTGATGGCTTGAAGTGGGATTCCATCTCACCAAAGCTAATGAATTTTATTGTTTTGTACTTTGAAGTTCAAGGCTTGCTTATGGTAGGTTTTTTGGAGGTGGAGATTTCGGATACTGCAGCTGATAAAGTTAAGAAGTGCTTGTGGTTTCATATGGCCTCAGAATCTGCATTTGAGTTCTTATGTCAAAAGTATGTCAATAGGTCTTTTCCTAGTGAAGAAGAGGTGGCAATATGGCCACTTTTGATTGAGGTTATTTGCTTTGTTTGTTATTTGCATTTTGAAGTTAGAATAATGGAATTTGATATTTTGCCTAGTTTTCAATTTTTTCTTAATCGGGAACTCTGGAATACTAACCAACCTATTTGATTGTTTAAATTTTGGTGTGCCCAATTGGTTCAAAGTAAGTAGTAGTGGATCTCATTTTCATTATCATAATCTCATTATTGCAAATACAATTTTAGTTTGCTTTATTTGTTTTTCAATAATGCTTCCTTTCCTTATGTTAGGAAAGGGAAGCTTATTAGACTTTTTTTTTTCCTTTCTAGTTTATAATAGTTTTTTCCTGTTTTAATGCAATTTGCATTTCTTCAAAAAAAAAAAAAAAAAATCAAACTTTAAAGTTTTTTTTTTTTTTAAGTGAAATTTTTATTTGAATCAAATCTTAGGTAAAGCATTCAAAATTATTTTTGGTCATTTAGATATTGATTAGACATGCCCTAAGATTCTCTAGTCAAACTATGTTGTTATAAATAGATCAATCGGGTTATCTTTCAAATAATGTTAAAATTATAATTTTCAGCCAGATTATGCTGAAATCTTATTTAAAATGAGCTAGTTTTACAAAACTTCTATGGCATCAACATCTCCTCCTTTATAGGGTTTTAACTTTGACAGTTAAAAAAAAAAAAACTAAGACAGTTGACTTTAAAATTTTTGGTAGTTTTATGATTTAGGATATCAACACCACCATTAAGATACACCTTTACTATAGTGAAAGATTATGATCACCTGGACTTTAATTTTTTTGGGAATAATTCAATCTTGAATTATACAAAAGAATATCATGTCCAAGTTCAAATTTCAACTAACTTTAGCTCTGCAATGGAGGACATAAGAAAGTTTGATGGAGTTCTTAAATTCGAGGAGCTTTCTAAGAAACGCCGGAGGCCAGAGTGTCACAGTACCAAATCACCCAACATTGTTGCGAGAGATAGTTATATCGATGAACTGTTTCAATGAATGGTGTACTGATGCATTGATCCAGCAACGCCGCCAAGCTAGCTCCGCGATGCTAGTTCAATTTGCATAAGTATAAATAGTACCTAGTGTTCATGTAAAGAATTTGGCTCCTTGGAAAATCGTGTGTGTGTGTGAGTGTAAGAGACTATTATGTATGGGATTGGTTATTATGTACTTATTTGGTGTCTTGTATTGGTGTATGTGTGATCTTAAGGAGATAGTAGAACTGTAGTTAGGAGGAAATCCAACTAATATTCAAACGAGCTTGACAGAGACGAGGTGTACTTATATTTTGATTCATAGTTACAATATGTAAAAGCCACTCTTCTTCCTTCATGTTTTCTTAAATATCACAAGTTCAGAGATTTTACCGATATTAGATTTACCTTAAACATGTATAGTTTTTTTTTTTAATTTGTGTAACTTATTTTGAATAATTTGACTAGATAAATAGAGTAGTTTCATTTGACATTATTAAAGCAAACTTAGAAAATTTCAAAGCTCTCATTGTAATAAAGATACTCTTCTCATCACTTTATTCCTTGACATGACATGCGCAATTGCATAGAATAGGACTTACACATTAGCAAATTAATTTATATTTAGAGGACCAAATAGTGTGTAAGTAAGCAAATAAAAAATCCTGTTAACAACCATCTTTTATCAATCTTCTACCAACTATTAGAAACTTTTCAAGAAAGCTTCAAGTAGATCTCAACTCCTATATAATCTCTAGTTGAACTTCTACTCATTATTTAAGGTTACAATCTCAACCTTATAAAAACAATAACAATTTGAAGAGAGACTAATTTTACTTTTGATTTGGTATGTACACATTGTTCTTCCCCTCCCAATCGAAGTATAATTGAGCCCAGGAGGATTCGATTCAACCTCTACTACACAGTTTAACATCATTGAGTAATACTCTAATAAACAAGTTTAGATAAGTCATACATCCACTAAGGCATTCTTAGTGGATTTCTTTTGACCTCTTTCATGGATGTTAACATCATCAAACAAAGCTATAACAAACAATCTCAAATATGTCAAACATCTTTTGGGCATTTTCTTGACCTCCTTTTATACATGTTAATGTCATTAAGCAACACTTTACAAATAATTTTGAAAAGGTTAAATATTTTTGGTGGATTTATCTCAATCTATTCCACCCAGATTAATTTCATCTAGTAATGCTCTAGCAAACAATATCTCAGATAGGTCAAACATTTTTGGTCAAGCAACCTTAACACAACTCAGTCTTAGCACCTTCCTCCACAGGTTAAGGCTTAGGGTAACACTCTACACCCACAACTTATGAAAGACCTAATTCTTTGCAATCATCTCTAAGTACTAATATGGAGCTTGGTTCAAAAAGACTTTATTTGATAAGTTTGTCATTCTTATGGCACAATCCCAATCATGCTTATACACTAAAGGTAAAATATACATGCATCTAAGCTTGAAGGAACATGCAATGTAGGAGTTGTATTTTTGGGACAAAAATAGAAGAATTGACTACACATAATATAAGCCTACGCTTTATCAACATCACATATATTTTACAAAGTCTCCCATTATCATTAAATGTTGGACTTGACAACTTTAAATAGATAGTCTCTTCTCCCATGAAATCTATTATGATCTTCAAGAAAGCCTTACCTCAGCAATGATAAGTCTCAAATGATTCCAAATATATCAAATTTTGCATTGATACTCGTATCACTAATATTTGAGAAGAAAAGAGGACCTTATTGTTTACTAGTTAGATTTTAATTGATTGAAAGATTGTTAAATACTTGATTTGAAATGTTTGCATGCTTGAAAATCATGCTGGGAGTGCTACGACATTGTGCTAGCGAGCACAACAACAATACCCTCTTTTTTGGTTAATCGAGCGTGGAGACACTAGGATTTGGTACAACGACACTTTACCCTAAACCTTATAATAATTTAGTTAAGAAATGTGGCGCTAACATAATCAAAATATTTCTTTATACAAAAGATCTTAGACCATATTACTTAAAACCTAACCACCACCATCTTTTATCCCCATTCACATGCATGATAAGGTGAGGAGAGAAAGGGGAGAGACAGGTGAGAAAAAAAGGCAGGGTTCAAGCCTTTTTTTTTCAATTATGTAGGTGGCTATAATCGTGGTAGTTAATTTTAATCTTATGTTTTCTTTTAGTAGTTTTGATTTCTATGATTTTCTATCTCTCAAATTCAATAATAATGCATTATCTCCTGATTTAGGTGATTTCTACTATGCAATTTTTCATATGTAGTAGATATCATCATTTTGATTATGTTGATATGATCATATTGAGATTTCATAGAGTAATTTTACATATATGTTCATTTGTATAAAATGATTAGGATAAAAGTATGCATAAAATGAGTAGAAATTAGTGTACCTAAATCTAGACATGGGTTATATGACATGTATAAACTTATTGTTTATCTGACAATACATGCATATTTGTATACTACATGCATACTGCTAAGCACACTAGATAGATTTAAGCAGTATGATAATTGCACTGCATATATACATGAAATGTGATTATTATTATTATTATGATGTACATGATTCAGCATGTGTGTTGAAGTATGAAAGAATGTTTGGAAATAATTTATTTATTCAGGTTGGCTCGAGACATGCAACCTCGTACAAGTTGGTATGCTGACGAGTTTTTATTTAAATAAGGTTCTTGGTGTATTGTTAAACGATATAATGTAAGGTATAAGGAGATTGATTTATATGATATATCGACGGGCATGAGTGATAACACTTACATGTTAACATGTGATTGATATGATTGATTCTTGTTTAAAAAATTAATTTGATTTATGAAATTGGTTCCTATTTGGTCTGAAGGGCTTATAAGGCTTAATATAAGAAAAACATCATAAGAGCCTGATGTCATGCTTTGTTTATTATTGATAATATATGGCATGTATTCATGATATAATTGCATATGAATAGATGGGACATAACATGACATACTAATCACAAATAAATGGAATGATTGATACATTAATTGGATTCAAGATACAACTAAATAGTGTTCTTGTAAGATTAGTGAGATTAATACAGAACACACGATATCATGATATATGATATACGATACTTATGCATTGATATAATATGACATTCATAAAGGTAGACTTATGATAAAATTTATATAATATTATGGTTAACATACAACTATACATTTGTTTTTCCCAAAATAACCATTTATTCAAGTAATAAAAGATTACAATCCCTAGCTACAGTAGCAACATATAAAAAAAAAGGCTAAACATATAGCAAGAGACTAGGCAATACAATGAGAGTAACATAAAAAATATCCAGACTCAGGAATCGAAGCCCCCTACACCAGCCTCACAATTAGCCACAAACCATCCAAAGGTGAGAGTCCCATAAAATCCAAAGTACCAAGCAATCCAAGCAAAAATCTAAATCACCTCGGTTGCTAACCAGCCGAGCTAGTGAGGGGAAGCTGGGGGTTTCCTCATCATTGTCCTCCAAGCCATCAGAAAACACCGCCAAAAAGAAACTATGAAAGAGCTAGAGTCTATTTCTTTTTACCTTTATTTTTATGCCTATAACCACCATTAGAAGGACTAGGGTCAACAAGCTT